TGTATTCAGGAGGGGAGGTGGGAGTAAGGAAGGGGAAGGAAAAAAATAAACAAGGGAATACATAAGGGTGAAAAAATATAATATACAATAATTAATTCACACTCTGAAATTCCAGATGGCTCACTTTCAAACCAGCAATTATTTCATTGTTCTGGGTCCTATTTCCAAATTTTTTTTGGAGTTATACCCCTATGAATCACCTCTGCCAAGACTTAGCCAAAGGAAAAACCGTAACTATAAAAAGTACAGTAAGCAAGAATGTGTAAGTCACTCTTTTCTATTCCAACAAGTTGGTATCTGACGATCTGGTTTTGTATAGAGGCATATTAGCCATCAGCAGCTATCCTTCTTTTATTACTGCACATTTTGGGGTTATCATCCAAGTAGTACTGCAAATGAGGCCTCACTATAGAATTGCTCCTGGATTAAATAAATATATTGACTATCTATCTATCTATCTATCTGGAATTTAGTGACCTCTCTCACAGGTTGGGTTTTGGGATGGACTGTCAGATCAGTGCCCTCAACAGTGCATTACTTAAAAAGGCAACTGCTGCCAGCCGCAGCAGCCTGGTTTTACCAACAGGTTCTTCCTAAGAACTTCTGCAACAAAAAGAAAAAAGTTGATAGATTATCTTTGTAACTAACCACTCCAAAGGAGTATTTAACGATCTCGCCTCTACCTTTAGAATCTCTTAAAATACTCCACTAATGGAGTCATCCTAATCTCCTTACGTGAACTACTAGAGTCTAGGGACTTTATCACTATCTTTCCCTAAAGTTTAAACAAAGCAGTTGCTTCTCACCCAAATAAAAGAAACCATATGACATTTAACTGACATGGAAGAAAGTATATTGTAATGGAGAAGAGCACAGGATTACTAAGAGTTGGAAGAAGATCTAGGTTTTAGATAGTTATACCTTAGCACAGGTACTTTTTTAACTTTTCTGTTGGTTCTTTGGGGTAAAATGAAATGGCTGGTCTAATTCTATGGAGTTAAGAAATAGGTAAGATGTGTAAAAGTACTTTTTAGCTATAAAGCACTACATATCTTAGTAATAATCCTATAATAAAATCCACGAGAGCAGAGAGGTATTAATACATCCCCCTAACTTTTGTTGAAGGGCATGGTTTATTCCCTAATTGAAATTTTGGAGAGTAGAGCTTTCTCCACAGGACAGCAATTTGTAGTATTATTGTTAGTTGAGTTACATTAATTTTCCTCCCTAGTTTTTATTTGGTATCTTGGTGATAAAGTTTTAGTCTTCACACTGTTGCAAAAGCGCTTAGAACCAGAACTTGTGTCACAATTTATGTAGCTAAAGTACACAGTTAATACTGAGTACTTCTGTTCTTTTTGTATTTTTAAAGGCATAACATATAAATTTCCCTGGAAAGCTGAGGTATACTCATGTCCCTTTAATGCTCCTGTTAAACTCAAGAGTGAAGTGCTTCCGAGTCAGTTGGGCGTCTGCCTCCGGCTCGGGTCGTGGTCCCGGGGTCCTGGGATCGAGCCCCACTGTTGGGCTCCCTGATCAGTGGGGAGCCCGCTTCTCCCTCTGCCTCCGCTTCCTTTTCTGTCTCTCATGGATAAATAAATATTAAAAAAAAAAAAAAAAAAAAAAGAGTGAAGTGCTTCCCTACTGACCAAGAACTTAAAAATAGAATTGCTTCTATTTATATTAAACTGAAAACACAACAGTGAGAAATATTGTCTTCCTGGTCTAAGAAAATTATAAAACTAAGGGTGCCTGGGTGGCTCAGTTAAGCATCTGCCTTCAGCTCAGGTTGTGATTCCAGGGTTCTGGGACTGAGCCCCACATCAGGCTCCCTGCTCAGCAGGAAGTCTGCTTCTCCCTCTGCCTCTCCCCCTGTTCATGCTCTCCCCCCGCTTCAAATAAATAAATAAAATCTTAAAAAAAAAAAAAAGAAAATTGCAAAACTTTTTAAAACTATCATTAATACTAAACCAATCAAAGGGCATCAATGAACAGGGATGGGCAGTATCTAACTATCTAAACAACAGACGTCAGTGGGAGCACGTGGATAAGAGAAAATTTCAGTAATGCAGTAAGGAACATCTCCAGCAAGGGAAGAGATACTACATCTGGTACGAGGGACAATCAGGTCTACTGAGAAACAGGGCCCCAGCCTCCTGGGGCTTCATATACACTATGTAATGTTCTGAACAAGAATTCAACTTCTCAGGAAATCTCAAGAACACTAGTTTCTGGAAAAGGAGCATCCCTACCATGAACGGGTATTACAATAATATATATTATATCCTAGAAATTGTTTTAAGTACTCTGTGGGTACTAACTCCCACAACCTTCATAACTCTGAGATAAGTACTTTATTATACCCACCTTAAATGAGGGGAGTAAAGTATATAAAGGCTAAGCAGTTGCCCCAGCTCACACACACATTTAAGTTGTAGAGCCAGGAATCAAAACTAGGTAATTTGGCTTCAAAACCAATACTAAGCTCTATGGATATATTAGCATCTCTGAGAGTCATCTACAAATGCAGGTTTTTGATCCTGCAAAGCCAAGGCAAAGACTCTGAAACCTGGTTAAAGTCACTAATATTGCTCTACAGGGCCCTATCCACACCCTCTATCTTGCTGATATGCTATTAAACTTCCAGGAGTTACTTTGAATATTTTGTAAATAGTCTAAATAGGAATTTACATATTTTTAAAAAGCAACAACAAAGTATCTGTTTGGTGGGCACTTAATGTTCTTGTATCCATACAGTACTTAATGTTCTTGGTAAAAGCAAGCAGGGGAAAACATTTTCAATTTTATATTAAAATCAACAGGTCCTGAAAATGACTCATCTCAAAAGAATAGTACACATGGAATTTCTAAATATAAGAAAAGTTAGTACTCCCAACATTCACTGTAAGATAGTACGCCAACCTTGCATAAAAAAGCATCTTGGAGGGGCGCCTGGGTGGCTCAGTCGGTTATTAAGCGGCTGCCTTCGGCTCGGGTCATGATCCCAGGGTCCTGGGATCGAGCCCCGCATCAGGCTCCCTGCTCAGCAGGGAGCCTGCTTCTCCCTCTCCCTCTGCCTGCCTCTACTTGTTCTCTCTATCTCTCTGTCAAATAAATAAAAATAAAATCTTTAAAAAAAAAAAAAGAAAGCATCTTGGGGTAGGGTCAACTTTTTTTTTTTCCTGGTTTAGTTCACAAAACATAAATAAAAGTCAAGAGGTACCAACTGTTTAGGCTGTGACCTAACACCATCTCCTACTGTTGAAATCTTTAAAGGGCTGAATACCAAAGCCAAAAGGTTTATGTCTAGTTCATGAACAATGCCATTTTTGTTGTTAGTTCCATAAGAGCTCTCTCATCCCAGCAATACAAATCAATTATTTTTCTATAAAAACAATGACTAATAATGGTGCTACATTGATAACTTGATTGAGTAATGCTTTATGTAACTTTAAAAATTGGGAATTGGGCGCCTAGGTGGTTCAGTCAGTTAAGTATCTGCCTTTGGCTTGGGTCATGATCCCAGGGTCCTAGGATGAGTCCCGCATTGGGCTCCCTGCTCACCGGTGAGTCTGCTTCTCCCTCTATCCTCCTCCCCTGCTCGTAATCTCTTTCTCTCTCTCTCAAAAAAAAAATCTTAAAAAAAGTAAATAAAAATTGGGAATAAATATTTCAACTAAGTAGTTGAAACATTCTTTAATTTAAATTTAATATAATTGGGAAAAATTGGAAAATACAGAATCACAAGACTTTGTCATAGTCTTATTTCCAAAAGAATAATACATCCTGAATACAAAATAACTTCTGACATTCATTTGTGTTTAGCTGTCAACAGTTGTTATTGATGTTCTGTTATTTAGTTTTTCAGAAAGAAGATAAAACTGGCCTACCAGAACTCCATGGACTTCAATAAACGAAATTTAATTATACCTTTTAGAACCTGGCATGCACGGTTGTTTTAAATTTTTTTGTTTTGCTTCTCCATCAGAGGCTATAAACAGCTAGAATATTGTGTAATTTTTATTTTAAATAGTATCTACACTCCTACCTCCACAGATGCATTTCTTTTCGGTAGCCCAAATCATCAGTCATAATCTCAAGGCTGGTGAACTTGAAAGCTCCTAATTCCTAAGTTAATTTTCATTGTTCCTACAATATCTGTTAAGATGAGTGAAAAATAGGCATTTGACACCTTAATATATATGTACATTGACTTTGATAACAATTTCTTTTAATATATTAATAGTAATGATAGTACATGAAAAAGCAAAATATATCAATCTTAAATGCTCTTCTAAAATTAAAAACCTACAAATAATCTTTAATTAGGTAGCCAAAGAATCTTTATAATCACCTAGAATAAAAAAAGTAGACTGCTGTTTTTATCAATTTATTGGAAACTGCATTGGCAACACTTTGCAATGTATTTATTCTTTATATTTATCAAAATGTATTACTACTTTGCCAAATGGGAAGAAAAAGTTCAGTACACAGTGGAAAATTTCATTCTTTTAAAAAAGTCACCTTAAATATACAGGTCTGATTACTTTGGTGAGCAACAGCAATAATGTTAAAATGCCACGTCTCCTATCTTTTATGACAATTGGTCATTTTCAGTATTATTACAATATGACTAGTTAATAAGCTTGACAAAAATTCTAACTTGTCATTTCTGAAGAGGAGAAGACATCTATAATACAGATTCACAATATACTAAAAATCCAAGGGCTTAAAATTTCATGTACCACGTGCCTCCAAATAGGAAACTAAATGGTCATTTAGTTTCAAGTTATCTAAATGTATCAAGAAAAACAATCTGCTAACCAATATCCCTGCTAAAAAATAAATCATCACAAAACATAGGTGATTTCCTTCCTATGTTATAAAGGAGCAAAAACCGTATGTAAAAATGTAGTGTTTCTCTAACCGATTAAAAACAATATATACCTGATTAAAAGACTAGTCAAGTCTGCAAGAGAAATAACACACAAAAAAGCCAGTTATATTTTAGGTACAAGTGACGAATGTATTTCTTTTTATTGTTATTAAAGTTTTCTCCAATGTAGTTCAGTAAATGAAGTATTTTATTTTATTCCACTGTTGGTCATAGTTTGAGCCCTACACACTCCTTTCCCTTTCACCTGAAAGGGAGCTCCTTTGTATGTAGCTACACACTCATCATTAGTAAAGAGATCAGGCTGGATCTGCTCCCAAATCTTCTTCTTAGGATTCAGCTCCTTGTCAGGTTCTCCTATTGGGGGAGGAAAAAGAAGTTACATAGCTACCATATTAAATAAATTATCCATAGAGATTTATAGTGAATTGTCTAGGCAACACTTTCTGATCTTTAGATCTGATCAGAATTTTAACACTTACTTTTAACATTTACTTTATTTTATGATGTCAGCAGTTTATATTTTTGATTGGTAAAATAAAATAATTTGTCATTTCCTAACGGCTTCTCCTTTGATATGTTTAATTGTGATGTTTAACGGACACCCTTGCAGTTTAAGATGACTTTTTTAAAATAAAATTCTCTCCTAATGATGACTTGAGCCCCACTGATGGGAGGATCAGCAGAACCTGTAGGATCTTGTTTAGAATTGATATTCTCTATCGTAATTTTGTTTATTAAAAAATGTTTTTGTTTGTTTCACTGCAAAGATGGATGCTCAGTTTTAAACACTGAAAGTGTACAAGTTGCTTTGTTAAAACTAAATATGTACACACACAAATATTTTGTCATTTCCCTACAAATGTGAAAGATTATTTTTTACTCTTATAAGAAATATTTTTGCAGGTAATACAGCTAAAAGAACTTATTCCCCAAATTATTTTCCCCCAAATTATTAAAACAAAAATACAAGATACTCATTTTGTCACTATATATACAGAAAAACTGTGAAGAGATAAGAGCATAATTTGATGTGTTATATTTTTACATGTGGCACAGCTTATGCTTTACTCTGTTTCAATGTGCAAAATAAACGATGAGATGGCTGCCAAAGTGCTTAAAGATTTCTTACTGATACTGGAGAATGGATTAAATATTGAGATTATCTAACTAAATATAATAACTACTTTGGGTTTCATTTCCTGCCCATTCCATTTGGTGAGATGGAAAGAGATAGAAAGGGTTAGTAAGGAGACAAGGACAAGCATTTGCTAAGCACAAGAAATATATACTGTTGCATACAATGCACACAACACTCTAATTTTAAATATAAGGAAACTGGTGTTGAGAGAAGATAAGCTGCTCAAAGTTACATGATAAACAAATTATGATTTAACACCAAAACCCTTGTTCTGCTAGTATAGCATCTCGCGTCCTGATAAACTGTTCTTTAGAAAAGAAATAACATTCTTACATGTGGGTAATAACCCATCCCCTCTATCATAACCCACACTAGAAGTTTATAATCAACAAAAGACAAATATATTGTAGAATACATCTGGTCTACTTAAGGGCCACCAATATACCAAACAATCCCTCTATTTAATGACTGATAAGGAAGTAGAAAGTAAAGTTTAATATAACATCATTTTAGTAACTGGGGGGATGTTCAATTATCATTTGGAATAAAGAATCACTTCAAGAAACAATGAAGAAAAGTAACATATCTCTTAAGCATTAGTGTGAAATAAGAATTGTTCTCCCGAAGGGTAATAAAAAGAGTTTTTCTGAAATTTAATTCAGTAATGATAGAAATATAACTTTCTAGATCTTTTCTAAAGTGACTACCAAGTTCAAATCTTCTGGAATAACTTTAAAAAGAATCTTTAACGTTACTGGAACTAATTATATTTATATTCTGATTACATCTTATTACCTACACTGGTTTTTATTCTCCACTCATACAACAGGAACAACAAAACTGAGTAAATTGGTTGGCCACAGTGATTTTGCTCTTTATTAGCTCTTCAGAAACTGCCCATGAAACTGGCCAGAACATACAAAACTGTCCTTTGATATGCAGGTTTTCAGAGATGACAGAATAGTTAATTGAATGATGTATCTATGCCAGAAGAACATACAATGAAACTAAAACTGAAAGACTAGTATAAAAGATAAGGATTTCTCTTATTCTTTTAAGAGCATTTGATTGACTAGACAAGAGAGAACTAATTAATAAACAGAATAGAAAAAATATCAATATATAAAGTATCTACAAGATTTTTATTTTTTGTTTCTAAACTATTCCTTAGTCTACAAACATAATCCTACTTTGCTTATACACAGATGATGTGGGGGAGTGGGCATTCCAGAATTCTAGAAAGCTGGAGGCAGAGATACTATTCAGGTAGGCCTGAGTACTAACTCTGAATTCCCCCGGTCCCCACTCAAAAAAATATTGCCAACTGATAATGGATTAATTCAAGAAGCAGAGCATCCCAGATTTGTGTGTAAGTTTCTTATCAAGAGTATAGATTGTGTGGGTTCTTGCTAAATGCAGACATAAGCCCCAAATACAAAAAAACTGTGATGCAGCACAAAACTAAGCTTCTCAGATCTAGGAAGATATTGACATGTATAAAAAATAATATTCATAATACATAACACATAGTGCTTACTATGGGCCGTCAGTACACTAAGTGCTTTCTTTACATATATTTACTCATTCAATCCTCTCAGTACACAAATACTATTAATTACCCCCATTTTACAGATGAGGAAATTGAGGCACAAAGGTTACAGCTAAGAACTTAAATATCAGGTAGGTAGTTAAGTGTTTCAAAAGTTAAACCTCACAAAACCCACACAAAATAGATAACATTAAAAACTCCTTATAGATAAAAAAGATAAGCCTCAGAAAGGTTCCCAGGTCACCCAGCACTGTGGAGTCAAGATCTGAAGCTTTAACTTCTTAACTAAGACTAATAATTTTCCAGGAACAAAGACTTGAACTAAATATAAACTAGAAACTACTAAGAGGAACCTCTAAAGCTTGACTGTTGCTTTCAACACACCAGACTCAATACCTGAACACTCTGAATGTAGTTGTGAAACTTTATTCAATAAATGAAACATGATTCAGACAAATAAAATTTTGAGATTATAATTAGAACTTGTCACATTAGGATAACTGAATATAAATTAGAGTTGAAAAGTCTTGGATGCAGTGTTAACTTTCTGGCTTACTCAAAATGTTTCTCAATAATATACTACTTGGTAGGGTATAAAGCTAGTTTGAAATGCAAGTTTAAATCACCTACCATGAAAAACAAACCTAATATTTTAAACAATTTTTTTTTAAGATTTTATTTATTTATTTGACAGAGAGAGAGAGACTGCTAGAGAGGGAACACAAGCAGGGGGAGTGAGAGATGGAGAAGTAGGCTCGCCGGTGAGCAGGGAGCCTGATACGGGACTCGATCCCAGAACCCTGGGATCATGACCTGAGCCGAAGGCAGATGCTTAACCGACTGAGCCACCCAGCCGTCCCTAAACAATTGTTTTTTAATGAACTATATTGTCCAGAGAAGTCTTTCATCATTCCTGTGTATTATGTCCTTCTAATCTTACTTTCCTTTTTTTCCTTTTTGACATGGTTATCCAAAGAAGTTAAATGATACCAATAAAAGTTCTTAAACCTAAAAACTGCAGAAACTCTGAAATTGCTAAACACATGCCAGTAATCACCATTTGGAATGGTTACACATAATGTAAGAGAACTAATCTTTCAGATACTATTTTAGGCCAATTCATTGTAAACAAAGCACACAGGCAATAGGAAATAGTTCAGAGAGGAGTTTGTACAGATGTAAAAAGCTATGACCACCTTCTTAGAATTTAAAACCTACAAAAAGCAATAAATCCAAATTCCAAAGTCCCAGGCATTCACAAGTCTGGAATAAGAACCAGAAACCTCATTTTAATTAGGCCATTCTTTTACACAGAATGCTCATTGATAATCAGCTTCTCTTTGATATCTGCCATGTCCATAAAAAGCCTAGCAGTAACAGAATTATTTTATGTTTAATTAACTGAATTTCTGAGATATAATAACTGATTATTGCTAAAAATTGTAACTATGGCACAAAAGCTAAAGTATAACTTGGCAAATAAAAGTCAATTAATTTGGGGTGCCTGAGTGGCTCAGTCAGTTAAGTGTCTAACTTCCACTCAGGTCATGATCTCAGGGTCTCAGGATAGAGCCCTGTGGTAGGCTCCTGCTCAGCGGGGAGTCTGTTTGTCCTTCTCCCTCTGCCCCTCCCCCCATTTGTGCTCTCTCTTTTTCTCTCAAATAAAGAAATAAAATCTAAAAGAAAAAAAGTGAATTAATTTTACAAAGCTAATCAACAGAGAAAAGTGGTTTGGTGGTTCGAGGAATAATCTTGACAATAACAAAGGCAGATGCTCAGGCCTGTTCTCTAAATACTGGTGGGGGGGTGGGGGCGGGTGTTGTTGGTTTTCTTTACATGTTTTACTAGTATGTTTCTTTCTGTCTATTCATTAACCAATTTATTGAGTTCCTACTCTATGCCATGCATTTTTCTAGATGCTAGGAATATAGCAGTGAATAACCACCACAACAAAAAACCCAGAAATCTTGATTTCATGATGCTTACATTTTTGTGTGGGCAGATAATAATAATGTATAGTATATTAGATGATGATAAGTGTTTTGAAGAAAAAACAAAAAAGATAACATTTAAAAGATTTCAGTAGGATGAGGAACCAAGTCATGTAGCTAATTGGGGAAAGAGCTCAACTGGAGTGATCAATGAAGGTTTGTGGAGTACATGAGGTAAATGGAGATAATGGGAAGCCACTTTAAGAACTTGGGCTTGTACTCTGGGTCTAATGAAAAGCTTTTTAATAGTTGTGAGCAGAGGAGTAATACAATCTGACTTACATCAATCTCCCTGCTATCATTGAAAATAGATGGAAGAAGGGCAAGGGAGACCATTTAGAAGGTTTTGACTTCCCAACAAGAGATGTTGGCACAAAGACCCAAGTGGTAGTGGTGTAGATGAGAATGATTCTAGATATGCTCAAAAGGTACAAGTACTAGGATTTTCTGAAGAAGATATGTGAGAAAATAAAAAGAAGTTGAGAGAATGGAGTTCCTATCAGATAAGATGGGAAATACTATGGAAAAAGGGAATTCTAGGGGAAAGATGGGGATATGTATTCTTCCTTGGTATATGTTAGTGAAAAAGTCGAGTAGGCAGCCAGATAAATGACTGGATAAAATAGCCAAAAAAATGAACATGGAAAGGAAAACAGAAGAGGCCAAGTGTGGAAAGAAAGAGAAGAGGGCAAAGACCAAGGTCTAGGACGCTTCAATGTTAAGAGGTCAGGGAGGTGAGGAAGAATCAGCAAAGGAGATAAGAAGGGCAGCCAATGAGGGGACCGCCAGGTGAATGTGGTGCCAGAAACCAAGTTAGTTAAGAAAAAGACTAAAAACTAGCCATGGATATTTAGCTACGAGATTAATTCATGATCTTGATCAGAATAGTTCTGGGAAAACAGTGAGCAGAGAAACCTGATTGAAATGGGTTTTGGAGAGAAGAATCAAATACAGACAAGTTTGAAAAATCAAATTTAGACAAATATCTTTTTTAATAATAAATGGATCGAAAAATTCAACACTTGCATATATCATACATACTTTGTAATAACCATTGATTACATTTATTAATAAGACAATATCAAAAGAAATAAACATGATCTTGGAAGTTAAAAGTCTGAATACAAATTCTCACTTATTACTAGACAAAACAGTGCACCGTCAAAAAGTGGCTGTCGCTGCCACTGTCTTCTGGCTATATTATTTTCACGCTGTTTTTGCTTGGTGCTTTTGGGAGTAGTTACCACATTCAAATACTAAAATGCATAGGGCGCCTGGGTGGCTCAGTCATTAAGCATCTGCCTTCGGCTCAGGTCATGGTCCCAGGGTCCTGGGATGGAGCCCCGCATCAGGCTCCCTGCTCCGTGGAGAGCCTGCTTCTCCCTCTCCCACTCCCCCTGCTTCTGTTCCTGCTCTCGCTCTGTCTCTCTCGGTCAAATAAATAAATAAAATCTTAAAAAAAAAAAAAAAAAACTAAAATGCATAGCTCCACACACTGAAAATTTAAAAAGTACTGGGTGGTGAGGGTTTCTATCCATTGTTATAAAAATATTATTTGGCATCTTCTAAACTCTATGTACTTTTTTGGATTTGTAGTTGGAATAAATAGTTGTTAGGGTAAAAGCCTTTTCAAGGCCAAATAGCACTTCAAAGGTTTGAGCCCCGACTGCAATTTCTATACCACACTTTACATAACATGAAATGTAATTTTCCAGACACTGAGCACATCAAGTGAACATCAAAATGTACCAGCAGACACCTTAAGCTTTAAAATGTAAAACAGATGCTGAGAAATAAAGCACTGATAAACCATGGCTCTCACTGGAAAAAGAAAAAAAAAAAAGTGAAAGTAATGGCCTGTTGTGTAGTATTAACTGTTACCTCCTTTCAGGTTTACTGCTACAGAAGCAACTGATATGGAAGCATAAGCAAGATGAGCATTAACAGACCTCACATCCTAAAATTTATCAATTACTTGATGCTGTTCACCTTGGTTAAGCTATTACAAGTGATAAGATAATAACCTCGCGGGCTATTTTAAAGGTTAAGTTTTTGCTTCTTTCACTTTACAACTATTTTTCTTACCTTCTCCATAAATCCATGTGCTGAGGCACAAGGGAAACTGAATTTGCAGGAAATATCAGACTTTGGAACAATGTAAATATAAACACACAAATAGCTAAACGGACAGATTAAAGAATATAGTGAAGACAAGAAATTCATATGGGGCTACTAGCATCTCTAATGCTGAGTCATTGACTAACTAAAGAAAATCTTTCAATTTACTCAACAGTAGCATTCAGGTAAACCTGATTCAAGTGCTGAAATATTACCTGTTAATTCTTTGAGATAAAGGAATGAATTATAAGCCTTCACTAATGAAATAATCCATATTAATTCACAGCAAGCAGCAATCAACAAACAAAAATGCTATAGTATTAGAAATTCCAGCACATTTATTGTTTGATCCCTTCACTAAACTCTATATAACCTTAAGCAAGTAGCTAAGTTTTGTTGGGCCTCAAACCAAATCTGTAAAATAGTGGGTTAAAGTATATGATTTCTTCCAGTTCTAAGCATGTAACTCTACAATTTACATCAGAAAATAAAACGTAAAGAAAACATACTAAATCTTAAGTGTTTAAATTTTAGAAAGGAAGGCAAATGTTAACTTGGAAAGGTAAACAGAATTTCCTTTTTTAAAAATGCATGCTGAATCTTAAAAGTTTACTTTTATTGTCATTCTATTCCAATTTAGTGAGTTAAGACTTCTCAATAGAATTTCAGGTTTGTCAGGTATACAAATGATGATTTACCCCCAAGTGTGAGGTTTGGGGGAAGTGTTTTGATATTGTGGTAGCCGAGTGGTAATCATTTGCTCCTAGAACCAAAAGCCATCATGCTGCTTTAAGAAATGATTCTAAATGGGATTTTCCCAAAACCTCGTTCAACAAGAAAGAGTCTTAGAGCACAGACCATTATGGTTTCCAATCTACCAAGGTTCAAGACATATACATCCATTCAAAGCCACAGATACTTGCTCAACAATTTCTGTGTTTTTTACATTAGTCTACTTTTGATTAGGAGGGGGGATGTGAATTTCAAGAAAATGAACCCATGCTTTCATACATATTTTCTATCTTAGTCCAATGTTAAAATCCTTCATATCCTAATATTTTATCAAACATAATACAGTTAACATAGGATTAAAAAAGCAGGCCCATCTAATCACATCAGCCTTGCTATGCTATTAAAACTCAGCTGTTTCTGTAAATATATCTCCAAATCAATTCTGACTTTTAGATCTGATTCTCCCTGTTAGCCTAATTTATTTCTACTTTCCCCATTATTCTAGTCAAATGAACATCCTTTAAGTAAATGCAATCTTTTGATTTCTAACTATTTCCACTTCCTTTTATGAAGGAAATAGTTATTCTGTATCTGACAAGTTCTCTTTTGCTTCAAAGACCTATTTGAAGAAACTTTTAAGTATATTATGAAGCTTCATCTGTCTCAGAAGCATTTTACTGGAGAAAACAAGCAAAATGAAAAGCAACTTCCTTTGAGATTATTACAATAAATAAAAGTTTTAACTCAGAGTTTTTCCTTTATATCCTGAAGTCAGGTAATAGCATATGCAAGTACATTATTAGATGGACTTTGAGAATTATACATTTCTTTCCCATGTATGAACTTTTCTTTTTGTTTTTCTGTGCTGCAGTCTGAGATAATCTATAGCTTCAAAGACTCTGCAGCACATTAATTAGTTCTCTATCCATATCACACTCTTCTGCTATGTAAGTATTATTAGCATTTTCCCTAGAGCAAACTCTAGTATTTTATGCAATGTGTGCATTCATGGGGAGGGTGATGTTTAGATGGTTGTGTTTACTGTGCCATCTCGAACCAATCTGAAGAAACTCAATAATAAAATCTCAATAATAATGGTCACTTAAGGTAAAGCCTTGGAGTCATACACAAGACTGATTCTAAACTAAACATTAGAAGAAAACAATGGTTCCCAAACTGCTTTAAATAATGACTAATACTTACCAGGAAAAGCATCAAAAACAATTCTGTCTCCGGGAACAGACCCATTAGGAGGTGCCAAGATTTCAACCTTCTCAGGTGAACTAGCACACATTACCATTGCTTGAGATATTACTCCCCTCATCTTTGCAGGTTTCAGGTTACAAAGTAAAATCACCATCCGATTTTGCATCTGTGTGAAACATAAACTGGTGATTAAAAATGTACAGAGATTTAGATTATCATACCTAGAATACATTAAGGTACATCTAATATGCTAAATATAAAATATTCTATTTTTGTAGATGTATCTTTGTCTCTGTGTCCAAAATCTTTTATTGTTGTTATGAAGTTATATAAAAACATGAAAAAAAATTCCACAAACTGACAGCACATTATAGCTGAAGGAGCAGAGGCAAGACTTTTCAGTAAAAGAAATTTTAGACTGAAACAGATTTGGTTTTGAATTTAGCTGCCATGTACTAGCAATGAGATTATATAAAGTTGAATTGTTTTTCTTCACAAAATGAGGAAAATGATACCAAATTTAAAAAGCCAACTCTTGGATTAAATTGTAACATGTATGTAAAGCATTTAGCTTAGTGTTAGCACTAAAATAAATGAACAATCCTTTTTCTCCCTGCATTTCCAGTACTATGCATATTTCTTAGTTTAAAAATTACTCTTGGGACTCTATCACTCTTGGGAAGGTACGGAGTAGGAGGATCCTGAGCTTACCTAGTCCCATGGACACACCAATGAAATAACTACATCTACTGCAACCAACTGAAATCAACCTGAAGACTGACAGAATAGATCATCCACAGCTAGAGAGAAGACAACATCGAAAAGGATAGAAAGAGTGGGGACACAGTCAGGAACCCTGGCAAATAACCACAAACAGGAGGGCTATCACAAACACAGAGGAGTGAGGGGGTCAAATGGACCCAAACTGGGAAAATGAGTCTTCATAACATCTGACTTTGAAAATCAGCAGGACTTAACTCCAGAAGCTTTAAAAATCAGCAGGACTTAACTGGGAAAACCAGGGGGTGACAGTAAATCGAGTCTCCACACTAAAAGAGCCATCACTAGACACAGTGCAAAAGCAGCAGTTTGGAAAGTGCCTGAGGTATATGTGAAGGAGATTTATTGACTAATCTTAGGATGTGCTAGAGAGGCAGAGATCTATAGGAAATATCTCTGGGAAAGACATCATTTTTCTTGCCCTCTGTGCCCTAGATGGTCTGAAGCTTGCAGGAGCCAGTATTATCCCTCTTCATCTAACTTACCAACACCACATGCCCCCCAGCCCAGCATTCCCTGCAGCCAAGTACTCCAATCTACCTGCATCAGGAAATGCCCTTCCAAAGCAGATCCTACACAGCAGGCCGGCAAGGGCTTAGACCACTCCAAAGTGACTAGTGCCCTGAAAAGAAGGGGAGATAACCCTACACACCAGCATAACCACAATTCCCGCAAGAAGGCCTCTTTGTAGGCTGCGCGGGGAGCAAGCTTTGCCCTTCATATGCCTGTTGCAGAGGCTAACTGCAAACAGCTAAGATGAGTGCTGGCCCACCACTGAGCTCACAAGCCCCTTAACAGCACTGGAAGTAAACCCTGCCCAATCAAGAACAGGCATCAAAGAAAGTCATTCTAGCCATAAGCATATCCTCAGCCAGAGCAATCTTGAAAAAGAACAAAACTGTAGATATCATAATCCCAGATTTCAAGATACACTACAAAGCTGTAGTAATCAAAACAGTGTCTTCTTCATACAAAAACAGACATATAGGTCAATGGAATAGAATAGACAGCCCAGAAAATCTATGACAAAGGAGACAAGAATATATAATGGAAAAAAGAGGTTTTTTTTCAATATTTGGTGCTGGGAACATGCAAAAGAATGAAACTGGACCACCTTCTTATACCATACACAAAAGTAAACTCAAATGGATTAAAGACCTAACTCTAAGATCTGAAACTATAAAAGCAGTAATTTCTTTGACACAGGCCATAGAAACATTTTTCTAGATAATGTCTCCTGAGGCAAGGGTAACAAAAGCAAAATTAAACTATTGGGACTATACCGAAATAAAAAGCTTTTGCACATCAAAGGAAACATCATCAAAACAAAAAGGCAATCTACCGAATGGGAGAAGACATTTGCAAATGATATATCCCATAAGGGATTAATATCCAAAATATATAAAGAACTTACACAATTTGACACCAAAAAAAACCCCCACAAACAATCCAATTAAAAATGGGCAGAGGGCCTGAGTAGATATTTTTCCAAAGAAGACATACAGATGGCCAACAGATACATGAAAAAATGCTCACATCACTATTCATTGGGGAAATACAATTCAAAACCACAATGAGATATCACCTCACACCAAGCAGAATTGCTACTATCAAAAAGCCAAGAAATAAGTGTTGGCAAGCATGTGGAGAAAAAAGAACTCTCATGCAGTGTTGATGGAAATGTAAATAAACCAGTGCAACCACTGTGGAAACCAGTATGGAGGTTCCTCAAAAAACTGAAAATAGAAATACCATATGATACAATAATTCTACCACTGGGTATTTACCCAAAGAAAATGAAAACCTTAATTCAAAAAGAAATATGCACCTCTGTATTTGCTGCAGGATTATCTATAATAGCCAAAATATGGAAGCGATCCCAGTGTCCAGATAGATGAATGGATAAGGGTGTGTGTGTGTGTGTGTGTGTGTAATGTACATAATGTAAATATAGATATAATGAAATATTACTTAGCCACAAAAGAGAATGAAATCTTGCCATGTGATACAACATGGATGGACCTAGAGGGTATTATGCTAAGTGAAATATATCAAACAGAGAAAGAAATCCTGTTACGATTTTACTTACATGTAGGATCTAAAACACAAAAGAAATAAACAACAGACTCTTAAATACAGAGAACAAACTTGTAGTCACAAGGGAAGTGGATGGGAGGATGGGCAAAATAAGTGAAGGGGATTAAGAGGTGCAAGCTTTCAGTTATAAAATAAATAAGTCATGGAGATGAAGAGTACAGCATAGGGAATATAGTCAATATTTTAGTAATTTTGCATGATGACTACACTTATTGTGGTGAGCACTGAATAATGCACAGAAATGTTACATCACTGAAACAATTGTACACCTGAAATTAATATAACATTGCAAGTCAAACAGACTTCAATAACAAGTATCAAAAAAAAATACTGCTGATCATTTAACTACTCAAGCATCATGTACACTGCAATTAACATTTAGGGCTATTTCTACAATTTGTTATAGAAGTGAATAAAGATTTCTTTAATCTTCAAAAGTTGAAGTGTCTTAATTATTTTTCCCAATTAGCAAAAATAGGTACACAACTGTTTATATCCTTTCAATAGGCTTAAAATAAAATGGCATAAAAGAGAACTATCACTGCAGGAGAAGAGAAAAGGCACATTCTAAATAAAAAATGGTTTTATAAACAAATGTTATGGCAAATTTATTGATTCTATGATTTAAAATAATAACAATAATAATAATAGGCCTAAGACTCAGATTCAAGAGGCCCCCTTTTCGGACATCTTCATGAATAAGATCTTCATACAAATAATTTAAATTGCCACTTTAGGAAAAAACAGTTACAGCAAATTTGTTTAAGAAAAAACAAGAGGGTTAGCTATATGCAATTGTTAAGGCAACAGATGATATCCATGGACCTTTACCTTGGAAAAATACACAAATCTACACAGTACAAAGTGCTCCTACTTTATACAATGTTTAATATTACTGCCTTGATAGGTTAGATACAGATGTGTATATAAATAGCTTTGCTTAAGGCTATGAATGACAGCTTTTGGAAGAGAAGATATTGTCTGCAACTCATGGGAACAAAAAAGATGAAGCCCAAAGGAGGAGAAGTTTTTCCAATTTGAGTTGGCTCAAGATCAATTGGTTCTTTTCTCCAGGGCTTCTTATGAACCTAACTTCATAAGTAGTTATGAAGAAGTCCTGGTCCTACACAAGATGCATGTTAAACAGGAAAAAAAAAAAAAAGCACACACATGGACCAAGTCTATCTTTTTTTATAGATAAGAAAAACTTCTTCACTAATCTCCTTATTTCCATTTTTCTCCCCTCAACAGAGCAGCCAGATGATCCTATCAATATGAGGCAGACTACATTTCTCCTTAGCTCCACAGTTTTCCAATGGCTTTCATCTCACTCAGAATAAAAGCTAGTCTTCACAGTGATCTATAAGATCCTATGTCATTTGGCATCCTTATTTCTGATTTCATATTGCATGACATTCCCCCTTATTTACTCTGCTATAATGACACTGCTTTTCCTGCTGTTCTTTAAACATGCCAGGCATATATCCAACTTAGAACTGCCTGAAATACTCTTCTACCAGGGACATAGGACTTTCCTTCATTTTCTGAGAGCTTTACTTAAAGTCATTTTCTTTATAACGCCTTCCCTAACCACTTTACACAAAACGACATCATCCTAACTCCAACAACTCTTAAATTCTTTCTTTTAATACTTACCACTATTTAATATACTATATATCATGATCTTCTGACTCCCCCATAGAATTGTGAGCTTCACAAAGGCAGGATTTTTTTTTTCTTCTAAACAAATCTATCTACCTACCTACCTACCTATCATTTTAATTCCCTGCTACATCCTTTGTTTAGAACAGTGCCTGGTATACTGCAGGTGTCCAATAAATACTTGCATCTGAAAGTATGAATGAATGAATGAATGTATGTAGGGATTTATCCACATTCACAAAGCCAATAAGCAACAGAGTTAGCAATGAACACAGAAGCAGAACTATTTTAATGTTAAAATCTACAGCCTTTGCAGTATCTCCAAAGCACCATGGAGCAGAAGAAAGAGACAGATAACTCCAAATTACTGTAGATGTCTTGAAAGACCAAATTAAAATCATTACTGCCTAATTTTTTCCACTGTCATTGGAAATACATACGTGTGTCTGTCTATACACACATACACACACATATTTTAAATACCAAAGTAACAACAAAATACAAAACATCTAGTTTTTAACAAATAAATCCCATTAAAAATTATAAGTTTAAGCTCCATAATGCCCTCTCCTCTTTTTACTTCAAGTATGAAAATATTTCTTGAGTTATAAGAGGAAAAAAAAAAAAAGACGACGAAGACTTGTTCTTACTTTTTAGATTGATGCTTTCTGGGTTTATATACAGTGATTTAAAAAAATCAAGGAGTAATAAAATTCCATGACAATAACAATGATGATAAAAATATTTATACTGTATTACACATAAAATACCAAACTAAAAACATTTTAAAAACTGAGAAAAAATAATGCATCTTTCTTCTTTCTACCTTCATGAATTTGATCCTAACTTACAATGCTACTGCAAGTTTTGGTAGTTTTAGTGTACTTTTTTGGTGAAATTTATTTTATTAAAATTAATCAAATGAACTAATCAATACTGGCTCACCTAATACAAAATTATATGGAAAAACATCAAGAAAAAGTGACATCTATGCCAAAGTAATTTAAACTGTACAGATTACCTGTTCAAGAGGAACATGATTCACCAGGCCACTGACAACTGTTCTTGGGGCTGTTTCTCCAACATCTACTTCTTCCACATATAAAGAATCTGCATCAGGGTGTTTTCTGGCAGTGATGATACAACCAACTCGAAGATCCAGACGAGAAACATCTACTGGCTTAGAGTCAGCGCTTCCTGCTACTGACTGCTGTTTTTTCTCCTTTTTCTCTCCTAAAAAATATTTATGAATGGTTAAACATCAGAAGTAAAACAAAAACAAGATAAACTATAAAAAACTCCCTAACATCGATACTGATGAGCTTTAAAAGAAAGAGTGTTTATCTCCTACCTTCACTTAAATAATAACAAAAGAAAGAATTATTCAAGTCATAGTATCTTGAGCCCTATTTTGGCTGTTTCTCAGTTGAATAACTGTCTAAATCTCTAGCTAAAGACAGAGAGTAGAAGTTGGTAAACTATGTTCATTCATTTACATATTGTCTATGGATGCTGGCAGGGTAGTTGTGACAATGACTTTATGGTCTGCAAAACTTAAGATATTTACTAAAAGGACCTTTATTGAGAAAGTCTGCCTTTCCCCGAAACAGAGCTGGAGAAAATCCTTTAAAATTTTTACTGTGACTCTTTAGAAAGGGAAAAACACTTTATTTAGGAAGAACACCACAATCAGTACCAGCTAAGAGAATGAACTACAATCAAATATAATTTCACTGATAAAATGTTTCTCTCTTCAGTTAAACACACCAATAAGTATACAACAAATTTCTCTACTTCTTGTATTTCTCAGACTTATTAGGGCTATAGGTTTATCCACAGCAAATATCTGAGCAAAAGAGCCACCCAGGCTCTGATTATGTCCCTATTCTGATTATGTTTTAAAAATCCTCCTCTTATTTATATGTCGATAATCTAACTCTTATAGCATTTGATTACTTTGGTCACTGAGTGGAAATGCAACCTGTAAAGAGTTCATAGTCCTTAAGTTTACATTAAGCTTCTCTAGCAGAAAAAAATTGTAAAACAAAATAAAAACTTATTTACCTGCACTCTGCAGTGTAGCGATAAGCACGCAGTGTGACTTAGAAGCACTCCTTTTCAACTATGCCTTACCTTTATTTAATCTTTGAACAAATATTTACTGAGATCTAAGGCACTGAAAATCTCTTTTAAGGAAGACAGATATACATAATGAATATGTGACAAACATTACATACACAAAGAAACATAGAAACACAGAGATGAATTCTGCCTGGAGTGGGAAAGAATGATTTTGTGTAAGGACATTCACAATTTATACAAAAACAGTTTACAAAAGAAGAGGTAGAGCTAGCTCAAAATAATGGGCAATTTTTAATCTAATTAACAAATTTTTAAAAATTCCACTTTCCATGTAAAATATTAGCAAAGACTTTTTTTAACGGTAAAACCCAAATGATAGAGGAATAAATATACAAAATTACTAGAAGAAAATACACCAAAAATCTTAATAGCAGTTACCTTTGAGTGATAACCTATGTATTTGATATAATGCAGTATAACATTACGTCTATATATCAACCTGTATTTTTAACTTTAATCTACTTCCTAGGTATTTGAAATACTTTTTATCAGGAATCCACATTTCAGAGGTGACTGCAAATATCCAAATCTCTACCAAGAACTTAGTCATCATAAAAGACTTTAAGAATGTTTCATTAAAAAATGAGTGATGCTCACATGTGGCAGTCTAGAAAGCCTGTATGGTAACCACAGCCTCTGCATGAACAGAATTTTGGAATCTGGCAATTCTAGCAGCCAAAGGCCAGTGGAACAGCCCTGTATTCCAGCACTGTCCAATATGGTAGCTGCCAACCACACACAGCTATTTACATTTAAATTTAAAATAATAAAAAATTCAGCTCCTTAGTTATACTAGATACATTTAAAATGTTCAGTAGCAATGCGTGACTACAAGTTACTATGTTGGATACTGCAGTTATACAGCATTTCCATTATCACAGAAAAGTACCACTGGACAGAGGCATTCTAGACATAGAGCTCCATTTGGTCTCGTGTGCCTCTTCCTCCCACAAAGGAAGACTCCGCTATCTCATTTGACTAGAAGACTGACTAATCCCGTAGTCACAAATGCAATGTAACTTCCTTTGGGTATGAACTTCATCCTACTTAGAACAGGCTGTCTGATTGTTTTGTGCCTACTTCTTAATAAATTTATAAAGTGAGAGAATTAGTTTGACTTGCTTTCATTGTAACCATACCACCTAGTGGTGAAGTTATGTAGAAGATGAACAACCCCAACTACTTCCAAGAAAAGTTACCGGTATTTACTAAAAGGAACTGGCAAGTGTTAGATGCTAAACTGGCTTAGGTTAATTCACAAATTCCTCATGCATTTTATATTTTCCAAAAACTCTTAAGTGAGTATAAGTGTTATGAGAGGTGTGTATAATGAATTATAAAAGCACTTTTTTTAGACATACTTGGAAAAATGATGTCTATAAAGGAGTAAAGGAGACTAAGTAAAAAAGGAGTCAGATTTATGGTTAGAATAGCTTCAGCAGCAAGGTAAGGATAAATTAGAAAAGACGAGACTTCAACATTAATTCAAATGACAGATCATGAGAACTTGAACAAAGGTAGCACCAAACAAACTGGAGCCACGGAGCTGGGTTCTAGATACGTTTTGGTGATAGGAATTATGTTTTGGTGGTCAGTTAGGTAAGCAAATTGAGGGAGGACAACAGGGTGAGGTTAACTATAAGATTTCTAGTCGGGCTGTCTAAGTGGATGGTGATACACTTTCTACTCCAGTTTTTATGGGTTCCTAAAACTTTTATACCCCATGCCTTAGTTCAGACATTATCCTTTGACTAGAATATCCCTTTCCTATCATCACAATTAGTCCCAAGCTAACTTTCTACCTGTGACCTCTCTGAAATTGAATATACACTAAAGTTTAGTCATACCAAACTACATATGGGCCCCCACGCTTAATCTCTACTTTCTATGTTTTTAGTTATGTTAAAACATACTTTACCTCAAATGCCACATTCTTACCCTATTGACCTGGTCAATCTTCACACATCCTATAGGTCCAGTTTCTATGTTCCAATATCATACTGTTTATTCTAGTTCATAAAGGTTTCAATTTTCTTTTTGACACAACTATTATTATAAAAAATGTTGACATCTGATAAACCAGTCAAGAACCAAATAACCTTAAAGGTTAAAAATACCTTTCACTTCAATTTTCTCTTTCATCTTCTTTTCTTCTGCTCCTCCTATCTGTTCTTTGGCATCAGAAGTTATAGTTGTTATTGGTCTAGACTGTATCACATTTTCAGAAACTGTGGAATTAGCTTGCAGCAGAGTACCAGATGGAAATGGTATTTGTTTCACTGATACAAAAAATAAAATAAAGTCATTATGAGCTCTTTTTAAAAGAAAAATTCACTGTATATGATTATCAAGTCTCTACTATCTGAGATTATAAAAAGGCTGCCAAGAAATTAAGTACATTTTAACCATGATAAAAGTTAAATAAATGATTCTCATTTAATCACTAATAACTGAGAAAATTATGGACACAATAATAACTAGTATTTATTATGGACTATGTTCCACTTTTCGAAATGCTTTACATGAATTAACTTTTGTAATTCTCATAAATACCCTAAAAACAGTAAGTTCTATTCACATACCCATTTACAGATGATCAACCTGAGCCATACAGAAGTCAAAAACTGGCCCATCACACACAGTGAGTAGGAAAATAAGAATTTATACTCAAGCAGTCTGTCTCAGGAGACTATCCTCTCATGGTTTGACAAGATGGCATGTTTTTCACTCAGGTTTTCTTTTATATTATGAACAATCAACTGGGAAAGTGTTTTAATAATAGTCATTGCAATATCAGAATTAATGGGGAGACGTGTCCATAATTCTATTTCAAAAAACAACTTTTTAAGGAAGAAAATTCCTTCAGCAATGTTAAAAACACTCTCATAACCTAGTGAATATGGAAAAACATAATCTTATGAGGGATTCTGATGTGGCTTAAATTCTGGCCAATATTCAGATCACTTTTCTGAGGTATTTTTAAGTTCCCTAGAGGCTCTTGCTTCTTAGCAATGTGACACTCCATCTACCCTTATGTAATGTTTCACCATTCGACGGGATGCAATACATTAATTCAAACTGTTGATGTGCTTTAGCATTTCATTAATAAGATCAAAGTTTAAAATGTTCCAGGGTAATCTTTTAGAACTGGTAAAATGGAAAGCAGTTTTATATTGCTAATATTTTAACTATTTATTTAAATCTGTACCTGTATTCTAAATCTCCTTGTCTTGGAAAAGATCAGACTGATAAACAATGTTCTCTTTAGTTGATAATTGTAAGCACACATAATATTGAGTTTTCCTTACTTTTGTTTAGCTCACTAAGGGTGGAGCTCATATTATAGCATTCAAAATAATTTACTCACTGACAGGATAATTCTAAAGGAAGTAGTAAGAGAGACTTTATACTTGGGCCTCCTTAACTCACCTAGGAAGGATTTTGTATAATACAACCAAATGCCTTTCTGTATGGTACTTTGAAATTGTAATAGAGCTATTATTATCAATGTTTTATAATGATGTAGGTTTATCTAGTCACCTTTAAAATAATTCAATAAAATTTTAAATTTTATTTACAACATAATAATTGAAATGATAATTACCTGCTGAGTTGATTAACTTAAAATTATGATTTCAGGCAAATTATACCTGTAGGCTTCAATTTCCTCATGTATAAAACAAGGACATTTGTGTACACAAAATTTTAAGGATAAAACACATAATGTACGTGAAGCACTTGGCACACAGTGCCTGGCATATAGTAAAACATAATAAATGTCAGCTAAATATTATTACAGGTTATTTTCAATAACTAATAGGGAACAGTGATGATCAAGTTGAAATATGTAGCACAGAGATTAAAAGCAGATTTTTTTTTAAATTTAAGTATAGTTAACATATAGCTATATTAGTTTCAGGCATACAATAGGATTTCCCTGATGAGGTAAGAATATACTATAGAAAAAAGTCTTCAACAAATGGTGTTGGGAAAACTGGATAGCTACATGCAAAAGAATGAAACTGAACCACTTCCTTACATAATACACAAAAATAAACTCAAAATGGATTAAAGACCTAAATGTGAGACCTGAAACCATAAAATTCCTAGAAGAAAACATAGGCAGTAATTTGACATTGGCTACAGCAACATTTTTCTAAGTATATCTCTTGAGGAAAGGGAAACAAAAACAAAACTAAACTGATAGGACTACACCAGAATAAAAAGCTTTTGTACAGCAAAGGAAACCATCGACAAAATAAAAAGGCAACCAACTGAATGAGAGAAGGTATTTGCAAATGATCTATCTCTTAAGGGCTCAATACCCAAAATATATACAGAACTTTTACAATTCAACACCAAAAATCACCATCATCATCATCATCATCCAGTGAAATCGGGCACAGGACCTGAATAGACATTTTTCCAAAGACATACAGATGGCCAACAAATACATGAAAACATGCTCAACATCACTATAAGCACAGGCGTTTGCACCCTGGGTCTGCACTTTTTGCATGAGCTCAGGCAAGATCATTTGCCTTTTCTAAGTCTCCATTTTCTCTTCTGTAGAGGAGGTAGATTGCATGAGAAGGGCTACTGTGGGGATAAAATGAGAAATCAAGTATAATACCTAATTTAACAATTAATGATATAATTATTATTATAAATCAAAACAACCTATCATTTATATAATTACCTCCATTTTGAATTTCTGCCTGAATTAGCTCTTGTTTCAATTCTTCAATTTCTTTCTTTAATTTAGCATTTTCAACTCGAAGTTTCTTCTCTTCTCTCAAAGTTGCCTGCAAAACTAGGATTAAGAAAATCCAGGTAAGATATAGCCATGCTTTCTAAGAGGTTTCTTATGAACACTACCCGATAAGAGCACAGCAGTATAAACATAACTAGGATAATACCAATAACTAACATAACCTTTATGTCAGGAATTGGCAAACATTAATATTTATTAGAATAAAATGATAATTAACATAGAGAAAAAGGAAGAAAACCTGTGAAATAATAACAGAACAGAAAAAATTTGTTTATGAAGCATTTCCTAGCTTCCATAAAGATGCTAAAGACAACTTAAGAACTGGACTCAAAGTGTCAACCATAGATAAACTGTCAAAATGAGGCAAGTATTAGACATATTATTTTTTTAAAGCCAGAGATCTAATGATAGCAAACCACAAAAAAACTTCTCATTTCTTTCTTTTTAATCATTACCTTGTAAAAGTACCTGAATAATCTTTTACTCCTAATGTTTCAGACACTGAGCTAGCCAAACATTCAAGGAGTGAAACCGCTTCAAAGATTTCCTCAAGATATGTGTGTTAAAGGTGAGCAATAGGGTATACAAAAGAATAAAAGAAAAACAGTGATTCTCAGTGGGGTTGGTACTGCTTCCTAGGTAGGATTTTTAAAATCTGTGGGAGTTATTTTTGGTTGTCACAAATAATAGGAGTCATTCTGGGCATTTACTGGGCAGGAGTCAGGAATGTCAGATGTCCTGAAATATGCTAGATATACTTGTAAAATGAAGAGCTGTCTCACATTCTGCAGAATTTTCTAGTAACCCACTGTACATTTGTATAGGTGAAAATCCTGTTAATTATTTGAGCCTTGACACTCTTTTTTATGTATAAACACAAAATATTCTTAAACATTTTCATTACACCCTGAATTTTCTATATAAATCAAGTATCTTATAAATTGAGAGTAAATTGTACTTTGTTTTGTTCACAGCTTTCCTTAAAGAATTATTCATCATTCTGAATAAACAAAAAACATACCTGAAAGCTGTTTTTGGTATCAGAGTTGCCTACATAAAGGCAAACTAAATACAAACTCATACCAATTAGCATTATATCTACTGCATTCTTGGTGATTCCATGTATGGGAACCATACAGCATAGGACTCTCTACTATGTCTGGTAGGACAGTCCTGCCTAAGTATTTACTCACTAAAATACACATTTTCAGTATTACTACAATTTATATATTACATTCTTCTTAATTTTCCTCTACCTTACATACACGGTTAACATATGTTTTGAAATTATGTATATAGGCAGGTTATTTTATCTAAGAAATATTTTCTTTACAGGGTATTAAAAGATTTTACAAAATATTTACTGTAACATAGGAATAATGGGACTGAGAACCACCTAGGATAGGCTACCAAAAAATAATAAAGGTGAAGAATAAATATGCAGTAAGTGTAGAAGGGTTCCTTTTTCTTTTTTTTTTTTTTGATTAGCAAAACTGAAATGCTAGTCAAGCTAATAGCAACCCATATGAGAAAAAATTCACACAGAAGCACTGATCATCTCTAATCTTTATCTTACTAATGGAAAAAAAATTAAAAATTTTAAGAAAAATAACAAGAAATCCTTTAAGAATTTAAAGAAAAAATGTTTACAAAACATAAAAAAGGAATAATTAAAACAGTATTTTAAAAATAAGAAAAAAGAATTAATAAAGAAAAAATATTCTGAAGAGTAACTGTATGATTCTGTAACCATTCACAATCTTATGCAGCAAAGAAAAGCATTTATTTCTATTAGTTATTCTAAAAGACTTGGGGATTTTCATCATATCATTAACATTGGTTATTGAGAAATAAAAAATATATTTAAACAAAAATCAACCTAAATCCTAAAAGGAGAAATTCAGATTTGATATTTTTGTATATATCATAGCAATTCCTAGGTAAAACTTAAAGACGTATTGGAAAAAATGTAAAAATCATTTCAGAAAATGCTTTAAGTAGAGGGTATTAATATAAGTATATATTCTTAGAGGAGATAAATTTGAGTTCATATTTGATTTTACCCAATTTTCTTCAGTTTAATCTTTAATTCTATATGAACTTATTTTAAATGTTAACTTTCCTTTAGCCCTCTTAAAATAATACATTGTTTTCTCTACATTACATTCACTATATACCAATTCTAATTTATCTCAATTCCAGAATATTATTTCACTCAAAATTAAAATAGTAAAGGCATCTAAAAGTTACCATCAAGATGATGAAGTATATTTATGGGGTAAACACAGTTTTTGTGCTCTTGTCCATATAGGAATTCATTTTAAGTATCTCCTCCAAAAATGCAAAATCTCTTACTTGCTTTCTCCTTAAGAAGAGCAACTTGCTGCTTTAAATAGTCAATAATTTGATCTGCTTCTGCACCCTTCTGTTCCAGTCTCTTCAGAACAGCACCATTAGTTGCCATTTTTGCCAAGAAACGGCAGAAAATCCTAAGTGAAAAAATAAAAGGTGGTAAATTACACTATAGAAAGAATAGATTTATTGTACACGACACTATGAGCAAGCAGTCTGAAAGGAAAAATATCTTCTATTCTAACAAATCAATACACTAGAAAAACACTTTTCCGACATAGAGCAACAAACCAAATGGCAGAAATGTTAACAACTAATGCCTCAGTATGTTTGGAAGAAGCAATCATTTTTTTTTTTCCCTAAATGCAAAAAAGATGCTATTTAACCACATTTTAGGTTGGAAAGTTTTAAAGAAAGCTTTAAAATACGTATGGCAGAGTATTATGATGCAAAACAGGAATACTAAGAGAAAAGAATAACAATAACCTTAACTAAGCTATAGTGAGTGCCACCCCTGTGTTCCGAAGTTAAGAATTGCTGAATTCTTAGTGTTTATTTTTTGTATATTGGATATTTCTACTGTTTATTTAACTATTCTACTGTTTATTTAACTATGTACAATTTTAAGGAGGAACATGTGAATTAAGAAGGACAAAAAGATCAACAATTAGGAAAATATGAATATTAATGACATGCCTACTCAGAAATAACATCAGCATATATACTATGACCCCTGTAAAAGAAAATTATTGTAATTTTAATTTTATAATTCATAGAAATTAGAAAACATCCTGTCAGTGTGCAGAAAAATGCGTATAAGCAAACATTCTGAGATTAACTCATAATGTTAAAGTTTAAAATGCTGAATATTAAGACAAATAGTCACACTGACAAAAGACAAGATTAATCATTAATACTACTACAAACTTTTTACCTGATTAACTTCCATTTATAATATAAAGCATAACAATGACATAAGCATTGAAGTAATTCTGATTTTAGACAATAAAATGGTAAAATTTTTTGATAAAGGAAAAAATTGGCTAAAATGAACAAATACTACAAGATTGTTTGAAAATTTCATATTATGCAATATCCATCCTATATAAAGAACATTCTGAAATGTTTACCTTTTTATAAAAAGAGAATAAATTCTCAAAAAACCTTATGCTAAAATTGACAATTTATAATACAGAACCACCAAAAAAATAAAAACCTGATAAAAATAAAGTTGTTGTAAGTGAAGAAAATATAAATGAGGTTAATCTGAAAAAGTCATAGTAAACTGCTAATTTTCTATATGGACTATTATTTAACAGTTAAAAAACATACAGAGCAAACAAATAAAAAGGTACAAAAATTGAAAATGAAGATATCAACTTTAAACTCAGCCAATTTTTAAACATGAACACAGAATATTCTGTTGTTGTTCCTCAAATGCTGTTCTAGAATTTTAGAGAAAAGTACAAATAAACAGATGAAGAAAGTTAAAGTAAAAAAAAAGCCATGTTCTTCTGGACTTTTAATATCCTCCTCAGTAAGCATTTTTTTAGTTTAAGGTCTTTCTATTTTAGTCTAACATAATAATCAAATATATTCAATAGGTGAAAATAGCTATCCCAAGAAAAGTAAGGAGTATTTGATTTAGCATACTTTGTTAGCTTTTACTTTTGTAGCAAAGAAAAATTTGGTGAGATAATATTAAAATAAATGTGACCTTAGTGATATGCTTTAGAAAAATCCCTAGTCAACTAATATCTTAACTGATAAGAAACAAGTAGATTTAAGTGTAAAATAGTTGTCATAAATTTGCCAACAGGTACAGAAAGTTATCTCACAAATATCAGCAAAACATGAAATTCATGTCCTGACAGACACAAAAACAGTTTCAAACTAAGACTAACAATGATTCAAAAAACAGAGATCATAAATCCTAGGCTAAGAGAAAAAAAATATATAATTTTACTGAGTTGATAAATCTATTAACTATCTGCAAAATACAGTTACAAAAGTGAGTTAAATAAAATATGACTTTTGTAATATATATTGAAGCACAGGCATAAGTTTAAGAAAGAATGTTTCAAAACATAAACACAAATGAGCTGAATATATTAAACACATACATAGAGCCACTAAGAGGAAATAATAGGATAAAAGGAAGTGATAATACTTTGAATGATACTGATAAATATATACCTTTATATTTTATATACTTGCGTATAACTCTACAAATACTTGCTTAGATTAAGGTCTAGTTTTAAATTCTGAAATATAACTAGGACTGATAATTGCGTATCACTTGAAATATTCAGTAAAAATGGATTTCTTTTTAACAAAATAACTATATAAATAAAACATGAAAAATAAAAGGAAAACATGTTAGTAACAAAGGGAAATGTTACTGAAAAACATATTAAGGCCATGAAGTCTTTTTTTTTAAATATTTTATTTACTTGGAGGGGGGAAAGATGGCGGAGGAGTAGGGGACCCTATTTCAACTGGTCCCCGGAATTGAGCTGGATATCTACCAGACCACGCTGAGCACCCACAAAACCAGCCTGAGATGTAAGAAGATCTGGATCTCTACAAACAGAATATCGCAGGCAGTTGGTTTTGAGGTACGAAGCGGGGAGCCGTGATTCGCGGACAGATATCGGAGGAAAAACGGCAGCGGGAGGGTGCCTGGCTGTGGGGATCCTACACCGCCGGTGAGCAACAGCCTCCTGCACTGGGGACAGGGCACAGACTCGCAGACCGGTATCAGCAGGGAAAGGACTTTAGGGCAGCCCCTGGGGTGGAAAACCAGACCGGCGGGGTTGCGCGCACCCGAACCGCAGCCCCCCGGACAGAAACCTGGAGCGACGGTCCCACGCACGCGAACTGCAGCCTCCCAGACGGAAACCTGGTGCGCTGGGGTCGCGCCGGTGAACTGCAACGCCCGGGGTGGGAACCCCGAGCGGAGAAGTCACGCATGCGCGCCCACGAACTGGGAGCGACTGGCGGTTTTAGAAGCACAAAGGGCAGAGATGTGCCCCGACCTGGAGGCAGGACTGGGGGCGCTGCGGAGGGGCGCACAACCCAGGACGCTGCAGTTTATAGCAGCAGGGACAGAAACGGAGACAGTGTGGCCTGGAGAGCTCACTGAAGAACAGACTGAGGTCTCTCTGCTCTGAGGCAGAGGGTTGGAAACAGTCTCTTCTGCTCTGACTCGCGGGAGAGAAGCTGTAAGCTGCCAGGGAAAGCTGCCAAGGACAATAGCCGCCAAAACTGATTCCCACTGAGCCCATCCCCCGCCACAGGGGGGGGCAGGGCAACTCCACCCAAACAGGGTTGCCTGACTAACAGCGTGGCAGGCCCCACCCTCAGAAGACAGGCTGGGAAAATAAGAGGCCAGCAACCCTGAGGTCCCAAGAAAACAGGTGCATCTTGCTTGGGTTCTGGTCAATAATTTCGACTCTATACATTCCCTCAAACACCCATCAACAGAATGACTAGGAGGAGGAGCCCCCAAAACAGAAAGGACTCAGAGATTATGACTTATGCTGCAGATTTACAAATGGATGCAGATATAACCAAGATGTCGGAGATGGAATTCAGGCTAGCAATTGTGAAGACAATGGCTAGAATGGAGAAATCAATTAATGGCAACATAGAGTCTCTAAGGGCAGAAATAAAAGGGGAATTGGCAGAACTTAAAAATGCTATCAATGAGATCCAATCCAATCTAGATAATCTAACAGCTAGGGTAACTGAGACAGAAGAGAGAATAAGCGATCTGGAAGACAGTATAATAGATAAAAAGGGAAAAGAGGAGGCCAGGGAAAAACAACTCAGAATCCATGAAAATAAAATCAGAGAAATAAGTGACACCATGAGGCATTCCAATGTCAGAATCATTGGAATCCCGGAGGGAGTGGAGAGAGAGAGAGGGCTAGAAGATGTATCTGAGCAAATCGTAGCTGAGAACTTCCCTAATTCGAGTCCTAGAGGCAGAGAGGACCCCTCCTAAGATCAAGGAAAACAGGCCAACACCCCGGCATGTAATAGTAAAACTTGCAAATCTTAGAACCAAGGGAACCATCTTAAGGGCAGTTAGGGGGAAGAGATTCCTTACGTACAGAGGGAGGAACATCAGAATAATGTCAGACCTATCCACAGAGACCTGGCAAGCCAGAAAGGCCTGGCAAGACATATTCAGGGTACTAAATGAGAAGAACATGCAGCCAAAATACTTTATCTGGCAAGGCTTTCATTCAGAATGGATGGAGAGATGCAGAGCTTCCACGACCGGCAGAAGTTGAAAGAATATGTGACCACTAAGCCAGCCCTGCAAGAAATATTAAGGGGGGTTCTATAAAAGGAGAAAGACCCCAAGAGTGATATACGACAGAAATTTACAGGGACAATCTATAAAAACAACGTCTTCACAGGCAACATGATGACAATTAATTCATATCTTTCAATAATCACTCTCAACGTGAATGGTCTAAATGCTCCCATAAAATGGCACAGGGTTGCAGATTGGACATCCATATGCTGTCTACAAGAGACTCATTTTGAACCTAAAGATACATCCAGACTGAAAGTGAAGGGATGCAGATCTATCTTCCATGCCAGCGGACCTCAAAAGAAAGCTGGGGTAGCAATGCTTATATCAGACAAATTAGATTTTTTTTTAAGATTTTATTTATTTATTTGACAGAGAGAGACCCTCAGTGAGAGAAGGAACACAAGCAGGGGGAGTGGGAGAGGGAGAAGCAGGCTTCCCGCGGAGCAGAGAGCCCGATGTGGGGCTTGATCCCAGGACCCTGGGATCATGACCTGAGCCGAAGGCAGACGCTTAACGACTGAGCCACCCAGGCGCCCTGACAAATTAGATTTTAAACTAAAGTCTGTAATAAGAGACACAGAAGGACACTATATCATTTTTAAAGGGTCTATCCAACAAGAAGATCTAACAATTGTAAATATCTATGCCCCCAACATGGGAGCAGTCATCTACATAAGCCAACTGTTAACCAAAATAAAGACTCATATTGATAACAATACGTTAATTGTAGGAGACCTCAATACTCCACTCTCAGCAATGGACAGATCATCTAAGCAGAAAATCAACAAGGAAACAAGAGCTTTGAAT